ACCCGCCGTGTGTATCGTGCGTCGGAGGAAAGCTGGCGCGGCACACCTTCCCCGACAAGGGCTCGGACACCAAGGAGGCGCTGGCTGTCATGCACATTAATTTGTGCGGGCCATTTTGGGTGGCTGCCAAGGATGGCAACTTGTACTTCCTGCTGCTGAAGGTTCGTGTGGGCAATGCCGGTCGCTAAGAAGAGCGACGTGCTGCGGGAGTTCGAGAAGTGGCTGGTGCTGGTGGAACGACAGACGAAGAAGTCGGTGTTGTCGCTTCGCTCCGATCGAGGAGGGGAGTTCCTCAGAAAGGTGTTCTAGGACTTCGTCGATGGGAAGGGCATCGTTCACGATCTGACGTGCCCCTACACTCCGCAGCAGAATGGCATGGCTGAGCGGGAGATGCGCACGGTCGTCGAGTCCGTGCGGACGATGCTGCTGCACATGGGCGTGCAGCACCACTGGTGGCACCTTGCTCTACGACAAGCTATCTGGGTGCGCAACTGCTAGGAGCGGTCAAGGACGCCGCCGGGGACGACTCCGTACCAGCTACTGACCGGGCAGAAGCCCGACCTTACGCTGGCGCGGGTGTGGGGCTGCATGGTGCAGTTCATGGTTCCCGAGCAGCAGCGCGGTGGGAAGCTGGCGCCGAAGGCTCGTTGGGGGCTTCACCTGGGGGTGTCGCTGGAGAGCAAGGGCTGGGAGGTGCTCGACCTGACCGATAATAAGGTGGTCACGTCGGTCAAGGTGATCTTCTACGAGATGCTGTCGCTGGAGGTGTGGAAGGCAAAGTATGGGCCGGCGTCGGGGCGGGCGCAGGCACAACCACCGACGGACACCTCGACGGCGACGGTTCCACTGCTCGCCAAAGTCGACAAGCTTGCTGATGAGGATGTTGTGGAGGTTCTTCCGCCTCCCCCTGTTCTTCCTCCTCCCTCCCCCGTCGCAGATCGGCCAGCGTCGCCGCCTGTGTCGGCCACCGGCGATGAAGGGAGCCTTTAGGCGTTGCCTGTGATGCCAGCCAGTGGCATCGCCGGCGGTCGACAAGGCGCCAAGCTCGTCGACCAGGATGGGAAGCCGTCGACGACAGGGGAGCAGCAGACAGGGGAGCCGGTCGAACAGAAGGCAACAGCAGCGGTGCAGCCCACAGGGGAGCAGCAGCCGGGGCGGTCGATAGGGGAGCTGTCGAAGTCAGCAGCAGGCGAGCAGCTGGTCGAAGGGTTGAAGCAGCTGGTCGACGACGAAGACGTCGACGCGGAAGGGGAGCAGTCGGCGGGTGAGGAGTCCACTGACAGCCTCGTGGTGGAAGTGCCAATCACGAAGCCTGAGCTACGACGCACAGGTCGAGCTCGACGGCCGCCGGAGCGGCTCAGCTTCCACGCCTGTCTTCCCCCAGCTGCCTTCACCACGGTGTACGACGAGGTCGACGACGACTTGTTGTACGACGACGCAGAGGAGGATGAAGACCTGCTGGAGCTCGACCCCGACGTGCATGCTGACCCCGAACACTGCTGGGACATCGCCACGATGACGGTGAAGGAGGCGCTATCAAGCTGCAAGGGCGAGGCGGTGAAGGCCGCCATGGAAGAAGAGATCCGCAGCCTCAACGGTATGGGGACTTGGGAGCTGGTCGAACGCCCACGCGGGGTGAACATCATGAAGAACCGGTGGGTGCTGACGACCAAGTACCGCATCGAAGACACCGTCGAGTGCGAGAAGGCGAGGCTGGTCGTGAAGGGCTTCACGCAGGTGTACGGTGCCGACTACGACGAGACGTACTCGCCGGTGAGTAGCTACGTCACGCTGAGGATCTTCTTCAGCATCGTCGCCGTCCTCGACCTCAACCTGATGCAGCTTGACATGAAGAACGCTTTCCTGCAGAGCAAGCTCGACAGGGTGCTCTACATGTACCAGCCGGGCTACTTCGACGACGGGACCGACCGGGTGTGTAAGCTGCTAAAGAGCCTCTACGAGCTGAAGCAGTCACTGCTGCTGTGGTACAGGGCTCTCGACGGTGTGCTGCTGGGCGCTGGCTGGAAGAAGAGCCAGGTCGACGAGGCGCTCTACATCAAGGCCGGCGACGACGGAGTGACCTGCTGGGTGCTGGTCTACGTCGACGACCTGCTCGCCGCCAGCAGCAGCACCGCGATGCTAAAGGAGCTGAAGGAGCTGCTGGAGGCTGCCTTCGAGCTACGTAAGATCTCGGCGGTGGTGAAGTACCTTGGGCTGGAGATCGTGCGCGACAGGCCGGCCAGGAAGCTGTGGCTGCACCAGCAGGGCTACGCCAACAAGCTGCGCAGGCGCTTCATCGACGAGGAGCAGGGCGGTCAAGTCCCGACCACGGATGCAGGCAAGGAGGGACGTCGACTTTGTTTCCTTCTTGCGGAATTCAAGCTGCTCGACGCTGGGAAGCCAACCATCCTCCGCGTCGACAACAAGTCGGCAATCACGGTCGTTGAGGGCTTGGAGCTAACGGGCAACCTCAAGCACATGGAGCAACGCTACGCCTGGCTGCAGCACATGGTGAGGCGCGAGAAGTTCGTGCTGAAGTACACCCCGACCACCGAGCAGCCGGCGGACTTCCTGACGAAGGCGCTGCATTTTCCGGCTTTCAACTGTTGCTCTGTCGTCATCGGCCAAGTTCGTCTGGCCGACGTCGGCGACGGCAACGATGACGTGCCCTTCTGCACGGCTGGTGTGGTGACGGCGTGCTGTATATGGGGTGCACGCCGAGGACGAGTTTTCTCCGTGGAGTACTGCCGTATGGGCTGGAGGCCCAAGCGTGAGCGCGGCAGGGGAGTGGTAATGGGAGTGGAGTGTTGGCCCCGCCCTCGCTTGGGCAACGCCGACAACTTGGTCAGGTGTACGGGAGTACCATCCGACCATTCACAGTTGGAGAGCTGCTCGACGGGCTTCGTCGAGCTGCCTGGGACCGCTGTGGTATTGCTATCGACCAGGGAGCTCGACAGCTGCAACTAACTGGTCTGGGCGACGGGTGGGCCGTCCACCGGGAGGTCTCCATCGACCTACAGCTCGACCAGGAGGTCTCCGTCGGCCTGCAGTTCGACTGGGAGGTCGACGGAGTAGTCAGTCGACCTGACAAGTGAGCATCGGTCGACGAGGGGAGCTTGGCGACAACCGCTGAATGTTCTGGTCGATGGAAGGGGTCCGTTGACCAGGGGGTAGCTCGACAGGAGCTGTGGTCAACCAGGAACACCTGGTGGTCGACCAGAGGGACCTGGTGGTCGACCGGAGGCACATGGGGGTCGACCAGAACACATGGGGGTCGACCAGGTCGACCGGGTAACCTGCTCGACGAGTTCTGCGGAGGCACGCGAACGTCGTCAAGGTCGCAATGGCGCAGGCGACTTCGGGCTGGTATCCCGATGTCGATGTGGCTCGTCAGGCGCAGACAACAGCAGACGGATGCCAACGAGGCAATTCGGGCCAATTGTCTGCGCACACCTGCGAGTGTGCGCACTGCTGTGTTCTACGGGGCAACGCTGGACAGCCGCTCTGTTGCAGCGTTGGTACGCCGTCGACCTGCTCTATTGGCAGGTCGCCCTTCTGCAGTGCTGGCGTGGCTCCTCTACGCAACGCTGGCAGGCGGTGGACTGAGCTATGCTGGCGGTCGACCAGGCTAGCTGCAGGGTTGCTAGGTGCCTGATGTAGTCATTCTGTCATTGCTTGTTTAATCATTCTGTAAGGACGCGGTAAAAGTGCTCGATCGGGGGAATATCGATCCGAACACCGCACTGAAATCTTGCGTTTTGCATACAAAACGTACACAACCGCACAAAACCGCGTTAGAAAACGATTCTGAGGCGATCGATCCTTCACTTTTACCGCGTCCTAATTCCAACTTTTCCTAGTGAAACTCTTGCCGATTTCTCTCGTGTATGCGCAAGCACTAAGGAACTAAGCAAAGCTACAATCACTCCTAGTAGTTCGCGCCAACCCCCATAGTCTAGCTCACTACCGTTGTAGAGTGACTCTCCACACACTCCACTTCGCCCACTCAAACAGGGTGACCCTAGCGTCAATTGTTTTGCAATTGATGCCAAATTCTCTTGAGATCCTGGCTTAAAAAAACTGATTTTAATCTAAGCGCACCTATGCTAACATCCGGGGCTATCAGGCCCTCATATTCATTTTTAGCCTGTTTGATTCGTCAGACTCTCACAAAGTTGTAGTCTGAATCTGACAGAGTTGCAAAAAAAAAAGGCTGAAAGTTCAGAGTGTGCTAAAATAAAAGTCTGAAAGATTCATAATCACCGCCTACAACAAGTCTGATTGTCTTTCTAGCTGTCTTGCTGAACTCTTGGTCTTGTTTGAACTACGTAACGTACATTGCAAAATCCTACATACAAAATGCTACTTGCTTTGCTTAGCCAGAGCTAGAACTACCCTATTTATGTATCCTAGCACTACAACATCCTACTAATCCTCCTCTCCTAGACTCCTACTCATTAAATCCATCATCATCATCGCTGTCAACTACATCCTGCTCATCTTCTAGGTCAACTACTTCCATATCTTCATCTGCCTCCCTGCCCTTCTTGTTGTGTTGCTTTCCTGCAGGCGGGAGTGGAGCGTTGCTCTGGGGCTTGCGCTTCTTGTAACTCCTCCAGATGGTCACAATCTCATCCCAGTCGGGGGCGTAATCGATCAAGCTCATGCACATCAGGTCCCCCAGGCGAGCATCCTTAAGCGCGCCCCTCTTCCACGACTTAATGATGTTCTGGCGGGAGAACCCCTGCTCGCACTCCATGGTGCTCAGCGGCAGTACAGCAACCGCCACCCACAGGAGCACCAAGTTGGGGTAGTTCTCCCGCCAGTTGGGAGTCTTGAGCATGGCAGTGAGACCCGCGTGAAATCTGCGCTCGCCCTTGGTAGATGCTGCAAGCACCGAAGTGAACATGCGCAGCTCCTTCTCTGCCCGGCGCTTGTCAATTCCTGACGGGATAGGAAGTATAACAGGGGGAGCAAGCTCAGAACCCAAATTCAAACATTCATTGAAGCATCACATGCAATAGAAACGATGCATCGAGGTAGCCTGATATTAAAACCAAGCTGCTTAATGGCTTACCTGGCAGGATCTCATCCGTCAGGTTGGCCTTGAACAGCGTGACAAGCGACTGAAGCCACTCGAGGCACCTGCGGTTCCTCTCTCCACGCTCTAGCCAATACTCATCGGGGGTGAAGAGCCTAGCGCCGGACATCCCGTTCAGGTCGCCAGGCCGGTGCTCCAGTTGGTGCACGATCACCTCAGCGAACTCTGTGCAAACCTCCACACAGCCATCGTGGGTGCCGAACCCTTCGAACTCCTCCAGCTTGTCCTCGTGCAGCACGAATTTGAAGCGTGCTGGTCGGCCGTCCGAATCAATCCCTTCAACCTTCACCTCCCGGTTTCCTCCAGGCCCATGGCGCGCGATGAAGGGGGACAGCAGCTCGCTCACGCCGCCACCGAAGTCGTCTCCGCAGTCGACGTAGCGGCTCTCGACGTGGGATGTTGTACGCTTGATCTGCGCATGCACGCTGGCATAATCAAGCTGGAAAGAAACACGTGGAAAGGTGGTTAGTGACTGAAGGTTAGAAGAAACGAAGCTTGCATTAGCACAAACACTTAACAACTAGTAACAAGAAACCAGAGCTTACCTCCTTGTGCTGGAAGGCCCTGTTGAGTATGTTCAGCTGCTCAAGCACATCTGCAATGAAAAACAGGAGGAAATGAAACCTGTAGCTCGTCACCAGCGCATAGAGCGTCGCGTCCCACTCCTTCAACATCACGATGAGAGCCGGAAGGACGGCGACGAGCCTGAGCACTGCGTCGCCCCGCGAAAGCCAACGGACTGCATGGATCCCTTGCAGCTCCAATGAGGTGGAGGTGAAGACTTCCGGCAGCCCCATGAACCGCTGATGCCATGGCCCACTTCGACCGAGATGCTCAGCCACGGTGCGGATCACCGTGTCAATGACGTTGAAGGCGGGAATCTTCTCTGCGGCTGTTTTAGCCGCCAGTGCCTCCCTGTAAAAACAAAAAGGGAAACATTAGTCACTTGTACCCGTTAAAAAACTTCAAAAACACCCTATTCACCTACAGGCATACCTGTGCGCGATGCAGTGGGATGACACCAAATGGGGGATGCGCACGCGGAGGCGTGTCGTGAGGCCGCCCTTGCAGCCCATCATGACGTTCGCGCCGTCGGTACTGATGCCTGCAATGCGCTGCAGGTCGACCCCGACTGCCAGCAGGTGTGATAGCAGAACGCCCTGAAGAGAAGCGGCGTCGGCCTTCTCCACGGTGAGAAGCGCCATGAACTCCGTGACGACCTTGAAGTCACGGACGAAGGTGATGAACAGGATCATGTGCTTCCCGCTGCACCTATCCGTGCTCTCGTCAATCGCGATGCCGACGAAGGCCGACTACAGCACATGTTGCAGCTGGGTTGTCTGGAGCCATGTAGCTGTAGCTTGTGTCAGCTCACCAAAGCCGTATCTGCACATGGAACCAATAGTCAGTAACAAAGTAGTTAGAACATTATTAAAACGTGGGTGTTTATAAAGAGGCGTACGGCAGTTGCACTCACGTGGTGTAGTAGGTGCCGTACCCTCTCTTAGGGGAGCCTTGCACGCCCTTCTCCGACAAGTACCGCACCAGTTTCACCCACATCCCCATGGGCGCGTCGGACCTGCTGATAAACAGCAAAGAGTCAAGAAGGGCGACGGTCCGCATCTTCTCATTGTCCACCGCGGCGCGATGTTGGTCGATCTGTGGCTGCCGTCCACCGCACTCCTCTTCAGATTTCTGTCTCTCAACCGCCAGCTTGTGCTTCGCCGTGCCAGCGTGTTTACGGAAAGACTGTGTCTGTAGGTCGGTGGCGCCTCTCCCGCGCCTCTCACACTTTCCTGCATCGCCAGCATAGGCTGCACAAACGGTACACTTGAACGCAGGCAAGCCGGTATCCTGAGCCACGGAAAACGGGTAGACCAATGATTTTTGAACTTGTCAATCGCTTCGTCGTAAACTCCCTCGATGAGCTCGGCCAGATTGATGTTGAGGCGAGGTCGCGGTCGGTCAGATGTTCCGGAAGCGTTGTTGACGTTGGCAGTTGACGACGCAGGTTTGCCGAAGGTCAAGCTCGCCTGCTTGAGACGGATCGTGCGCGCCGTGGTCTGAGTCGGAATCTGCGACTGTGAATCGACGGTTGGTTCCGCAGATGTCTCTGCCACATGGTCGGCAGAAAGTGAGAAAACTGGAGCCGCGGGTGCTTTCTGTATGGGAATCGTATCGGGCGTGGCGCGTGCAGCTTTATCGAGATCTAGTGTAGTAAGCAAGAAGTCCAAGCCTGTTAAGGCAAGCCGCTCATCAGGGTCGTCGTCGCCTGTGGCGGGAATGTCCAGCACCGCCATGGCGGGGCTGTGAAAGAGCCTGCCGAGCAGGAACTAGAGAGATGATGGCTGAGGCAAAACTGGGCACTGGCTTGGGCCCGTGAGTTGAAGCTGAGGGGTGTGGATGATACCCTAGCACAAACACGAAGGCCCTTTACCAAGATGGGCCATCATTGAGTTGTGTGGGTGGTTGCCTACCATGCACGGCAACGACGAGGCGCATCGTTGCAGTGTGTGGTGTGGATGTTGCAGCATCGTGGTACACGATGCTGCCTAAAGGACCATCTGCTTGCCATCACGTTTACGTGGGTGGCAACTGCTGCAGCATCTTGTACAGGGGTGGTAGTGGAGTTCGTGACGGTGGACAAAAGATGTCAAACGCACCAATCAGTGCGCAACGAGGGTGTGAGCTGGAGCATACACCGAGGGAAAGAACGCGCCGCAGGGCGGGTGAAACATCCAGCTGTACGAGGGAAACATCGGGCCGCAGGGCGGCGGTACAGGTACAATGTATGTACCATAGCTAATCCTGTGTGTCGGCGCGCAGGTAGATTCATTCAGAGTCGGAACTCGTTTGTACTCTGAATTCATCAGAGTACACTCCCGGAAAACTCTGAAACGTCAGAGTCCGAGTATAGAAAAATCTGATTTTCACAGAGTTGACACAAAAAAAAAATCTGAATTTTACAGAGTACACCCTAAAAAAAATCTGAAATCTCAGATTAAAACAAGCAAATCAGACAAAAAACTCTGACTTCTAGGGGCCTGGGGGCTATACAGTAGGTCGTAAAAACAGATCAGACCAGATTGGTCTGGTAACAGGACCCTGCTTTATACCCATTGACAAATGTTGTCTTACTAATGCCATGTGGCAGATACACTGACTTGCAACATGTTATACAGACAAGCAGATCAAACATTTAACCTAAGGTACTACTGACATTACAGGGCAGTCACTCAGAAAAGAGAGAATCAACAGCACTGGATATTTGATTTGCAGACAGCTGACCAGACGCGACATCCCGAACCAAAGCAGCCAATTGCTGCTGACGAGCCACAGAGGATGAGAAGAAGTTCCCAGGGTGAGTGTTGCGCCCATGAGTCTGAGACGCCAGTAAAGAATTGTTGCCAGCCATAGCAGGTCTGCCATTGTTGTGTGTGCCCACCATGCCTGCTCCCTGCACACCTGCTGAGGTGCCTGACCATCGCCTACTGCCTTGATCACTGTTGTTCACTGCTCCTGCTCCTCCCCTTCTACCCCCCGCTGCTGCTGCCGCTGCCGCTGCTGCTATTGTTGGCGGTGGAGATGGTACGGGTACTCTGGGGTAGGGCATGGGCCCTGGCATTGGCATGCAGAGTGAAGTTGGGGGGTGTGGGTTCCATGGTAGGGGGGCTGATACAGGAGCTCCTGCAGCTGGAGCAGCTACTGAAAGGTAAGGAGCTGGGCCAGAGGCACACAGTGGTGCTGGCAATGCTGCTGCTGCTGCTGGAGCAGGTGGTGGTGCTGTTAGCGCTGCTGTTGGCACTGGTGAAACACGTGCTGGTGCTGGGAGTGGCTGTGTGTGCACTGCAGTTGAGTGCAATCGAGAGCGGCTCAACAAGCCAGCACCACCCGCAGCAGCCCCTTGTGAAATGCCCCCAAGGTGAATATTTGTGCCTCGCCCCCGGCCCATGCTATTGCGCATTGAGTGAGCCGATACACGTGGCGGCCCCCCTGCATGGCCACTGCCATAATCAGCACCTTCTGCTCCCTGCCCCTCCCCGCCTCGCCTCTCCCCCACCTGTCCCGCCTTGCCCCTGCCTCTTCTGAACCCAGCTGCAGGTGCGGATGCTGGGAGGGAGGGCGGTAGGGAAGGTGCGGACGGGGCAGGGAGAGGTTGCGGGGAGTGGTGCGCAACAGACGATGCAAGCGAGAGAGAAGAAGCCTGGGGAGGATCCGGGCTGGAAAATGCAGAAGAGGAGAAGGCAGGAAGAGGGAGAATGGTAAGTCCGGGGTGGAGGTTAGGATGGGAGAGTAGGGGAGGCCTGAATGGAGGCTGCATAGGATCAGGAGGGGGGGCAAGTAGGGAGGAGGCATTCGGTGCTGTTAGGTTGAGAGAGGTATTGCTGGGGGCGAACGCAGCAGCAGCAGCTGGCATGTGAGGCCCAGTAACGGGTGCAGCTGGCACAGTATTAGTGTACGTGGCTCCTGCTGCTGTTGCTTCCCTGTCCGCTGCATGTGCGTTGGTGGGAGAGCAGGGCGGAGAGTCATCCAGCACAACCACTTCGCCTGGTCGAAACCTCGCTTTCACCTCCCCTGCTACTCCTCCTCCTCCTGCTCCGCCGCCGCTGTCTCTCCACCCTTGCTCCCCACCATATGGAAGCGCAACAGCAGAGGGTCCAGCTGCTGTGCCTCCTAGCACGGGGGCTGCTGCTGTTGTGCAACCACCTCCTGCACCCACTGGCACTGCTTCTAAAATGGCCCCTCGCACTGCTCCACCTGCACCTGCACCTGCACATGCACCTGCACCTGCAGCTGCTGCAGTCCTTGGTGCTCCCAAGGCCGCGGTCACATTATTTCCACGTGCGGCTAGGGTGTGCTGAGGCAATGGGTCACTGGCGCTACCCATACTTCCCGGCTGCAAACACATTCCCCCGCTCTGCCCTGGGAAGTTGCCAGCTGTGCCAGTAGGTGCAGATGATGCAGGTGGCGTAGTGGGAGCAGGGTGGGAGAGAGGGAAGGAACGAGGCAGCGAGGCATGCTGTGCTGTGGAGGGGCCTGCATGGGCCCACTCATGCCGCCTGGTTGGTGGAGTAGAGTGCAGTGACGGGGATGGGGATGACAGATGTAAGGCAGCATGGTGCTGGTGAGTGTGTGAACTAGAGTGCGAGGGAGGTGCATGCGCGTGTGCTGGGGGTGCATGTGTGTGCATGTGGGCGTGCATGGGCCGAGCCAGAGGCATGGGGGCACGATTTGAAGGCATGAGAGGGACGTTAGGTACTGCTTCTGCACACCCTGACCATCCTGTTGCCCCCACTGCTCCCCCTGTTTCTGCTCCTGTCGTGGTTGGTGCTGCCACATGCTGCCCTCGCATCCCCAGCCAGCCAGACATGCTGCCAGCCAAATGGCGAAGGGCCAGAGGCGGAGGTGCTCTCAGAGGCGATACCATGTGCGCAGCAGAGGGGGACGAAACAGCAACGGTTGGCGTCCTAGCAGCAGCAGGAGCAGCAATGGGTGTGCTGGTATTGACAGCAGTGGTGCTGGTGTGGATGGGAGCAACGGCAGCGGCGTTAGCCCAAGATGTGGCGTGCGATGGAGTGGCAGGTGGGGTAGGACGAGCAGAGCCAGCTTTGCGTGGGAGCACAGACCCAGGCGCAGGAGGAGTGGACGTAGAAGCAGCAGCAGCCGCATCAGCATCAGCAACAGTATGAGGAGGAGTGGTGGTGCAAGGAGTTGAGGAGGCAGGGGAGGGAGAGCAAGGGCGGGTGCCCATGACTAGAGGTCGGCCCATAAGCCATACCACCACAGGCTCTTGCTCTGCTTGCACTGCCTGTCCACTGCCACTGCACGCAGCAGCACCAGTGCCATCACCAGTGCCAGCGGTAACAGCAGTACCAGCGCCAGTACCAGCAGCATCAGCAGCAGCAGCAGCACTAGCAGCACCAACTCCTCCAGATAGACCTGCCTCACCCTTTGCCGTGACTGCCCCGACCCCACTCGTTTCTCCACATGCCACTGCCGCTGCCTCTATGCCTCCTGGTCTCTCCCCTCTGCCACAGGCCGCTGCCTCTTCCCCCTCATCTCTCTCCTCCTCACCATCCTCCAGCTGTGGCACCTCCACGCTCATCCACTGCCCACTTTGCCCATCCGGCCTCCCTGCACTCCCCTCCGCCCTGCTGCCAGGGGGGCTGTGCTTGCCTGCAGGTCCCTGGCTCCCCGCCTTCCTCTGCCGCATGCTGCCACTAGCAGCAGCTGCAACTGCTGCTGCATCTGCAGCAACAGCCGCAGCAGCAGCAGCAGTGGCAGCAGCAGCAGCGGCGTCGGCAGCTGCAGCAGCAGCAGAAGCAAAGGCAGCATCAGCGGAACCAGGAGCAGTGGTGGGAATGCGCATGGTTCTACTGCTGTCCTCCTCACCATCCTCACCGTTCACCACCACTCCTAGCCCATCCCTATCCTCCACACTCTCTTTTAGCTCGTCCATCCCATCATACCTCCCAACCCTAGCCTTCCTCCAACGCTTCTCCCTCTCCTCCTCCTCCGTCCTTCCCCCTACCTCCTTCTCCTTCTTCTCTCCCCCACTGTCCCTTGCAGCAAAAGCACCTGCCTCCCTGTCCGCATTATCTCTCCCCTCCCCCTCCCTTTCCTCCTTCTCCCGCCCCTCTCTCTCAGCAGCAGGATCTACCGCGCCAATGCCGGCCAGCGTTGCTTGCTGCAAGTCCATCTCTTCAAACGCCGACACGGCAGACAGCAGAAGAGACATGGGCTCGCAAGGGGACACAGGAGGGAACGCGCGGGGGCCACGCCCACCCTCACCTGCACCCTCACCTGCACCTGCATCTCCCATCGCCTCTCCTGCTTCACCACTAGCGTCCCGCCTCTCCTCACCATCTTCACTCCCTTGGCTATCTCGATTCCTCCTTGCCTCCTCTTCTTCTTTCTCCTCCGGCTCCCCCTCCCCCTCCTGCACTTGCCTTCCCTCCTCTGCATCATCGCACCCCACTCCTATCAGAGGACTCCTGCCTTCCCTCCGGCTATCAGAGGACTTGCCAGAGGCACTCCTGCCTTCCCCCCCACTCCGAGCTTCCTTCCCACTCCGCCTACCCCCTTCCACCCTCTTCATTGCACTCGTACTTTCATTGTATTGGGGGACCTCACCAGCCCCTCCCTTCCCCTGCATGCTCCCCTTCCCTTGCAACTCTGAATCCCTGTGCCCGTCATCCCCCTCTCCTTCCCTCTCCCCCGTCAACCCTCCATCCACCCTCAGTCGCTTGCACGTGCCACCACTGGTGCTTTTGCTCTTCTCAGAATCCAATCCAGCCCAATCCCTCTTCTTCCCTCCACCATCCACACCATCCCACCCTCTCTCCTCTGTGCCATGTTCACTACTCGTATCCTCGCCCTTACCCACGACACCCTTACCCTGTGCATGCCTAATGACCTTACCCGCCCCTGCACCCTTCCTCTCACCCATCTCGCGCCCCCCTTCACTACCAGACCCCGCCCTCTCCCCTCGCCTCCTCTTCTTCCCTCTAACACCTTCCACCTCCTCCTTCTCTGCTTTCACCTCCGCATCTCCTGCCTTCTGCCTGGCCCTGCTACGCCCCCTCCTCGCCTTCTCCCCCTCGCGCTGCTCCCGCTCATACCACCCATCGTCCAGTGCCCAGAACCCTCGTTTCCACCCGCCCATGCCATCTGCCACCCGCGCACTCCTCCGTAGCGGCACGCCTGCCTCTCTCTCGCTGCCGCGCCTCCTGCTCTCATCACCTGCCGGTTCCCCCCTGCTTGACCTTGTCCGGACACCAACACTCCCACCTGCAGCAGCAGAAGCAGGCGCAGGCGCAGCAGGAGCATCCCCTCTGCGTGCCTTCTGTGTCACACCCGCCTCTACTGCTGCTTCGCTCTCAACTGTCTCACTCTCTGCTAGCGCTCCTTCTCTAGCTTCCCTCTTACTCCCCTGTCTCGGGTTCTCCTGCCCTTGCACCTGCTCTGATGCCACCTCCTCCCCGCTTCCTTTCTCCTCCTCATCCCCGCTCTCACCAACCACCCAGCACCCCTCGTCACCCCTCCCCTCCTCCGCAGCATCATCTGTGCTTGCTGCTGATGCACCCACTGCACTGCTCTCGCCTCCCTTCCTGCCACTATGTTCCTTAAAATGACCCTGACCGCTTGTGGGCTGCAAGGCAGAAACATTCCCTTCCCGTTCACCTTCCTTTGCCTTGACTGCACTGAGTCCTCCCTTGTCACTTAACCCTTTTTGCTCCTCAGTGAGCTGTTGACAATTTTCCGCTTTAAGCACTTCAACCCCATCCTCTTCACTTCTTATGTCCTTAGCCTCGTTATAAGCACTTGCAGTCTTCTTTACCTCCTCCGCCCCCTGAGTGGTCCCTTGCATGACTTCAGATAGTGGCACATTTCGGGAATCCAGCTCACCAGCAACACCACCAGCACCAACAACAGCACCAACAGCAAGAACACTAGTGGTGGCACCAGAACCGCTAGCACACGCAGCAGAAGTAGAAGCGGTGGCAGTGGCAGCAATGGCAGTAGTGGCACCGGCAGCGGTAACAGCAGTGGTGGCAGCAGGCACAGCAGCAGTCCTATCTAGTTGCAAATCATCAGAGCTTGCAGCATCAGCAACCGCCCCATCCTTCACATCCACCACATGCCTCCCACTGCCCGCACTGCCCTCTCTACCCTTCTGCTCCTCGCACGCCCCTCCGCCTGTCCCATCCCCTGCTGATCCCTCCTCCGCTGATCCATTCTTGCCTGAGCCTGCAGCATCTGAGCCCATGGCTGCCTGAGAGCGACTCCGCCTCCAGCTTATTGCACCAGCTGTGGCACCACCAGCTGTGGCCGCGCTCTCTAGCATGTCTGAACCTGCATCCTCTCTCCCACCCGCTGCTTCCCAGCTCGCCTCGCACCTCCTGCGCTTCTTACAGCTTTCTTCTCTTCCCCCTTCCTCCACTGCCCTCTCTGTCTCCCCTCCCTTCCCTGTCTCCCCTCCCTTCCCTGTCTCCCCTCCCTTCCCTGTCTCCCCTCCCTTCCCTGTCTCCCCTCCCTTCCCTGTCTCCCCTCCCTTCCCTGTCTCCCCTCCCTTCCCTGTCTCCCCTCCCTTCCCTGTCTCCCCTCCCTTCCCTGTCTCCCCTCCCTTCCCTGTCTCCCCTCCCCCTTCTGCCACCCCTGCCTGCTCTGCTTCCTCCCCCGCCCGCTCTGCTTCCTCTCCTGCCTTACTCACCAAACCCACTGTGCTCGCCACTGCCCTTACACATTCACTCCCCTCAACCTTGCCACTCGTATGCTCCCCTCCTTTCACATCTCTCTCAATCCGCATGCCCCACTCACCATCCTCACGCCCCTCCTCCACACCCACGCCTCTGTCCCCTCCTCCCCTCCCATCTCCATCCTCCTTCCCTCTCTGCTCCTCTGTATCCCCTACATCTGCCTGCACTGCTGCTGTGACCCCCCCTCTCTGCATCTCCCCTTTCCACTCCACTGCGCCCTCGTTCTCCCCTCCACCACTCCTCGGGCACGGCACTCTGGTGCTTTCCTCCCCATCTGCATTCTGCATTGTGCCCTCCCCATGCTTCTCCAGCTCAGTTGCTCCTGTCAAGGGGCGAGCTGCTTCTCCGTTGCGTAAACACGTGGCTGTTTCTGGATTCTTTGCATCAGCTGGAGCAGAAACAGGATCAGTGGGAGCAGCAGTCACGGAGGTTGCAGCAACGGTAGAAGTGCCAGCGGAAATTGCAGGAGACGAAGACACAGAGAGATGTGAAGGAGCAGTAACAGTAGGGAAATCAGCAGAAGCGTCACCAGATGCAGCAGGAGCAGGAGAAGCAGAGGGGGGTAGTAGAGGAAGGGGAGGGGGAGGACAAACAGGAGGAGGAGCATGGGGAGCAGGAGGAGGAGGAGGAGGGGGGAGAGGAGGAGCAACCAAGGGATCAGCAACAGGAATAGAAGCAGCACCAGTAGGACGGGGAGGAGGAAGCGAAGAAGACACAGCAGTGAGAGGAGCAGAAGGAATCACAACAACAGATGTAACAGCAGCTGTAGGAATAGTTGAAGGAGGAGGAGCAACAGGGTCAGGAGCAGCAGGGACAGAAGAAGTTGCAGAAGCAAGAGCAGCGGAAGATTCAGCAACAGCAGCATCAGTTGGGGGGCCAATAGCAGCAGCAGCCTGAGTAGTATCAGTGGGTGAAGCAATCGCAGCAGCGGCAGCAGACGCAGCAGCGGCAGCAGTCGCAGCAGCGGCAGCAGTCGCAGCAGCGGCGGGAGTAGCAATAGCAGCACCAGCAGCAGCAACAGCAGCAGCAGAAGCGGCAGCAGCGAAAGGAACAACAGCAACGGACTCTGCAGCAGTTGCATCAGCTGTTTCGCCAACATCCCCTGCTCCCTCTGCGAGCCTCTCTCTTTTCCTCGCTCCCTCATCGCCCTTTGCATTTGCCCCACCCGCAGCTCCCATCCTTGCCACTGTTGATGCTCCACAATCCAGTGAAAGAGACGACGAGGGAGAGACTGCTGGAGAGTGTGAGGCAGAAACAGGAAGGGAGGATTGGGACGGGCGCAAGGGATGGGAGGCAGCAGCGGCAGCAGCAGGAGCAGCAGCAGCAGCAGCGGCAGAAGCAGAAGATACGGGGAGTGAGGGAGGGCATAACAGGTCTAGAGCAGTGCACACGGGTGTGACAGCGGAGCCCTTCACAAGAGGGTCCTGTGGGTCATTGCACCGGCCTCCACACTCTTGCCCCTGCACACGCCCCTCATCTCTACCCTTGATATCATCACCTCCTCTGCTCTCCTTTTGCTGCTGCCCCTGATCCATTCTCAAATCCCCCCCCTTGTGCTCGTGCGGTCCTTTCTCCCCCTGGGACTCGCCTGCATGTCTTTCTGGCGAATGGGCCCTGCACGCCTGCCTGCTGCCACCAGTCCGCGGGCTTGACGGGGCTTCCTGTTTAGCAGGCGCGGGTGAGGAGGCAGGGGGCAGGCAGGCGCGGGGGAGGACGGAAATGGAAGGGAGGGGATTGAGAGGAGAGCATTGTGGTGCACAAACATAATCAGTCGCATGATGGAGCATAGGGCGAGAATTCGTCGTGCCAGGGTCAACCTGTGTAAAACGGGGCCGCCTTGGCATGGCTCACACAAGAATTTCTGGCTCTTCTCTTTTCACCTAGTCCAAGTGCCCTCTGTATGACCTACCTCTGTCTGTCTCCATGCTGAAGAGCCCTCTGATGATCCCTAACCCTGTGCAAATAAAAAGCACATCAAACCTACATGTACTTGACATGAACCGAACCGAACCGAACCAGACCAAACCAAACCACACCGAATCGAACCGACCCGGTTCGACTCGAACCAGGGCCGTTAGTTGAAAAAAAGACTTGCGGGACCGGGATGGTCCGAGGCGAGTTGGCTTGAAACAGAAGCGCATTAACATACCACAACACTCAAGCCTATTCAGCACAGGCCATGTCATGTTATGATGGTGAGACCCACCGTTACACGATCTGCAGAAGAACCCTTCTCTTGCCCTTCCCGATGCCGCTCCCCGCCCTTCGCCACGCCCTGCTCTCCACACTCCTCCTCGCCTTGCATTGCCTGCCCCTCTCCCCACTCCTCGACCCGGGCCCTCTCCTTCCCTCCATCCACACAGACCCCCACACAGCTCTCCCCTGCCTGCGTCACGCTGGCCTCCCTGCGTCCTCCTGCCTCTTCCTCCTCCACACGAATGGCAGCAGCATCCAGGCGTTCGTCCCCAGCACCTTGCACAGCAGCCGAGACCTGCCCCGCTGCACCAGTCGTCGGCATCTCTTCCCCCGCACCCTCCGCACCCTCCGCTCCCTCCTTCATTGCTCAGGCATCACTTGCCCTCATATCAACACTTTCCTTTTCCTCCGATACCTTGCCACTCACGTGCGCTGCCTCTTCCTCATGCGGATCCTCCTCACCCCCCCTTTCCTGCATCGCACTCTCCTCCGGTTCCTCCTTGATCAGACTCCTACCTCCTGCTCCCCACCTACCACCACACTGCCTGCCCCCTCTTCCCCTCCCACTCCCTCGCCCTCTTCCCCTGTCCATTCCCCCCCCTCCATCCCTCTTCCACCTTGCACCCACTGCTCCCTTCCCTCTTCTCCTTCCCCCATCGCTGCCCCTCTCTCTCCCATCTTCACACTGTCCCTTGCCCACCTCATCCTCTTGCCCATCTTCCTTATCCTTCTTTCCTAATCTGTCCCCATCACCACACCCATCAACCGCAGATTTCTCCTCTTGCCCATCCTTCCTTAAAGCATCTCCATCCGCCTCCCCTCTCCCTTCTGCAGTCGCCTCCTTTTTCACCTCTCCGAACCCCTCCGCATCCCCCTCGAGTTTCACCTCTCCAGTCACCCCACCAGCGCAAGCACCCTCCTCCTCACCAGCAGCGCCTGACAAAATTAGAAGGTAGAGAAGCTTAGAATGAAGAAGAAGAGGGGGTTCACTAGAAAGCAGCAGGATACATATAGGAAACCCTAAGGGGTTGTACTCGCTATAGAGTACCCCACTGCAGGCTAGAGAACAATGACATTCTGACACACCCCCATAGCCAAAGTGGGGTGTAATCAGCAGAGCAAGCAAAGCAGAACAAGCTCAGGGTGGATCACAATGTCACCACACATTCTGAGCACAAGTACAAGAAGCAATAGTTTAAAGTTCACAATTATGAGCAAAGCTAGAGGCTATCGCAGAGGGCAAGTGAGGAGGAGGAGGCGAGAGTGAGAGGAGAGGAGATAGGAGGCAACGGCTGAAGCTGCAGACACACGGGCAACAGGAGTCACACTGGCACAGCAGCTACCGGAACAACGCTCCGGACTACAGGAGTAACTGGCTCCGCGGCTAAAAGTAGCGGCAGACGAGCAACGGACCCACGGGCGACTGGCACAGCTGGCTGCGACTGGGCTACCGGAGCAACTCCCCGGACTACAGGTGCTGCTGGCGACACGACTGCAACCTCAGTTCAACCTCCCCAAACAGTCCCACTCCCCCTGACACACACCCCCTGCTTCACCCCTAGCTCCACTCCCCCTTCACCCCCCTTAGTACCACTCCGACGGCTCCAACAGATCCACCCCCCTCAGCGGCAGCTGCAGCACTGGGAGACGGAGGAGGAGGAGGAGCAGGGGACGGCACACAGAAGCTGCACCCCCATACCCCCCACCCCCAAACCCTAATTCAGGAGAACGGGCAGCAGCAGGGGTGGGGCGCCATCAGAAGCACGGGGGGCAGCGGGCAGCGCAGGGGCAGCGAAGAACGGGCCGCCCACGGGCCTGGCACAGCCGCCCGAACCGCGCGCAGGCGGCCCGAGCCGCGCGCGGGCCTGGCGCAGCCCGTACGGGCCGCGCGCGGGCCTGGCGCAGCCCGTACGGGCCGCGCACAGGCTGTACGAGCCGCGCGCAGGCCACGACGGGCGACGGGGGGCGACGCGCGGGTCCCCGTCGCCCGTCGCAGCGCCTCCCGGGAGCGACGCGCGGAGTGACGGGGCAGAAACCCGCCGCGCGCCTCGGGGCGCACGGCGGGCAGACAACCGCCGCGCGCCTCGGGGCGCACGGCGGGCAGAAAACCGCCGCGCGCCTCGGGGCGCACGGCGGGCAGAAAACCGCCGCACGCTCCGAGCGCGCGGCGGGATGAAAAATCCGTCGCACGCCACTGGGCGTGCGACACAGAGAGTAGCAGTAGCAGCGGAAGCAGTGAGGTGGTGAGCCCACCCACAGGATCGACCCAAGGGGATCGACCTGCTCTGATAGCATGACAAAATTAGAAGGTAGAGAAGTTTAGAATGAAGAAGAGGGGGTTCACTAGAAAGAAGCAGGATACATATAGGAAACCCTAAGGGGTTGTACTCGCTATAGAGTACCCCACTGCAGGCTAGAGAACAATGACATTCTGACAGCGCCATCAGCAGCAGCAGCAGGGCGGGGCGAGGGAAGATCATACGCTTCCCACGGCCCTCTGCACGCGCGCGCCACAGCTCCCAGTGCACGAGGCCTGCTGCTGCTGCCCTTGGCAACGCGGGTCACCCGCGTTGACCGCTGCAGAATGTCGCTCCAGCCACACAGCTTCGGCACCCTCACGCTTGCATGCCCACCTGCTGCAGGGGCTGCTGCTGCTGCTGCTGCTTCTGCTTCTGCTTCTGCTTCTGCAGCACTAGTAGCAGCAGCAGCACCATGTGCGGTGGCACTGTCAGCACCCTGCTCTCCTGGAACCACCCTCGCACTAACCTCCTTCACACCACCGCCGCCACCCATCCCCCCATCCGCACGTCCCACAACACCCCCCTCTTCCTCCTCTTCCTCCCTCGCACTGAACCTTCCCAGCTTTATCTTCACAGCACTCACCACTGCCTTCCCACCACCACCAGCCCCGTCCTTTGGACGCACCACACAGTCAGTCTCCTCCTCATCCTCCTCCTCCTCCTCCTCCTCCTCTCTATGCTCCCTCTCTACTTCCGCACACGTCAAAGTCCCAGTGTCCACCCCTTGCTGTGTATCCGCTTCACGCCTACCACCAGCAACAGGCTGAGACCCCCTCCTGCCTCGCCTATACCCACTCAACCCCACACCACCCCCCCCAATCCTCTTCTTCTCGCCCCCCTCTTCCGCGTTTCCAACTGAATCGCCATGCCCCTTCACTTCCCCTGTTCCAGTCTCCGCCTCGTGCTCCTCCTCCTCCTCCGCGCCTCCCCCCCCATGCCCGTCCCCCTTCTTCACATCCCCGCCTACGCCTGCCAATGCGCGCCCACGGGCGGAAGCCGGCCCCTCAGCAGCAGCATCATGCTCGCCACGCGACGCCATCTCACCACCAAGCACGCCACGCGCACACCCGTTCTGCAGCTCCCCCGCCGCCTCCCTTATACCGCACTCGTCTCGCCCCGTCTTGCCATCCTTGCCCTTTTTTCTCTTGGCATGGTCCTCCTCCCCCTCCTCCTCCTCCTTTTCCTCTTCTTCCCCCTCTCCCTCCTCCTCCTCCTCCTCATCCTCCTCCTCCTCCTCCTCCTCCACCTCTTCCTCCTCATCCTCCTCCTCCTCCTCCTCTTTCTCCTCCTCTTTTTCCTCCTCTTCCTCGACCTCCTCATCCTCCTCCTCCTCATCCTCATCATCATCCTCGCTTTCCTCCTCCTCCTCCTCCTCATCCTCGTTTTCCTCCTCACTCTCCTCCTCCTCCTCTTCATCTTCATCTGAATCAGAATCCTCTTCTACACTCTCTCGCCGACCGATGCTCCTTCCCCGCCCCCGTCCCCTTCCCCTTCCCCTTTCCACCACCCTTCCTCTTCCCCTCCCCACGCCCCTGCCCCTACCCCTAACTGCGCCTCTGCCTCTGCCCCTTCCTCTGCTCCTTCCTCTGCCTCTTCCCCCCCTCCCACGCCCCCTTCCCTCCATCTCCCCCTCCCGTTCCTTCCGCTCAAGACTGCCCCTGCCTCTCTTCTCCGCCACTCCCCTTCCCCCACCCCTTGTGCCCCGCGCCCTCCCTCCGCTTCCGCCTCTCCCCCGACCTCTGCCCGCAAGCGCCAATCCCAGCGCCTTCCCCTCCAGCAGTATCTGCTCCGCGGTCACCGGACCGTCATCGTCCATCCTGCCGCCCCTACCAGCGCCCCGCGCGCTGCTGCTGCTTCGGCCTTGCCCACGCCCTCGCGCGCCCCTTCCCCGCCTGCCACCCCTGCCTCCCCCAGCATCCCGGCTCGAGCTCTCCTCCTGCCGCGCGCCGCCCCGCCGCGCTGTGCGCGACGCCGACATCACGGCGCGGGAAAGCGCAGCGCAGATCGACTCGCGGAACCTCTCCACTGACGGCCGCCAGCCGCTGGCTCACCGCGGCTGCATCGCTAGTAGTGTCATTCTAATCGATAAAGTCCGCGCCGCGATTGGGGGACCTGGGCGGCGGGCACGCGGGTGGAATCGTTCAACATAATCGCTTACTTCGGCGTCCACGGGGCGGCTGAGCGTGGAAGGCGCAGAGGTGGCTGCGGTGGAGAGGATGAAAGAGGCGAAACGAACGCCAAGAATTAGTCTAACAAGAAATGAATTTTTTTGAAAGTGTGTAACACTTTCTAAAAATGTGTATTTTGAAAGCGAAGCTGCTTGTAATGCAGCAATGGCAACGGCGAAGTGCTAGACGCTCTTCGCCAACTATATAGCAGGGGGTGGAGGCCATTTGGCCTCCACCCACGTCTTCGTTTGAAATTTCAAATGTCTTATTTCCCACCCACCCACCCTAGCAAAAATTGCATGTTGTCATGTGTAATGTAGGTACCATATATATCCCGGACGAGAATGATGTAATGCCCATTTGAAACGAAGCTCGTTGCCATTGCAAACACAAGAAAGCAAGCTTTCTAAATACACAAGTTGATTGATGCTTGTTGCCTTGCGTGCTGCTGAGGTAAGCGGAAGGACAACGAAAGGGAGGGTTGTGTTGTTTTGTGTTGTGTCACGAGAGGTAGTTGAGAGGGAGGGAGCTTTTCGAGGGTACACGACACGACAGGACACCTCCGAGACCTCCAGTCGGTCGGTTGTCTGACACGTGTATTATCGCGCGTCCAGTAACCAGATCTGGTACAGTGCCCATAGGCCTGCCGCGTGAGCAGAATCAAACAAACCTTGAAGCAGCAAACCTGCACCAAGTGGACGCATGCAAGTCCTCAATCATTGACTCTAATTAGTGTACTAAAAAAGGCTTGAAATTTGTTACGAGTGCCATTGAGTGAGCGAACTAAAATTGCACTATTGAAGCAAACAAGACAATGAGCAAAGGCATGGGCGAATAGCTACATAGCAAAAGCATTTCGCGAAGGGGTGCTCGTACAGTCTAGCGCCGAGGTTGGGAAATGTGACGATATGGAATAGTTGAATAAACATTCCTAAGAAACGAATCCTTAACGCGAAGATGACTGCAGCGAGGACGAAGACAAAGCGATAAGACAGTTATCGACGACTGTTACAAGCAAGAAGAATTATGTTACAATCCCAAAAATGGGACTTAACGAAGGATCGCTCAGGGTTGATCGCACAGTAGTATTGCAGCGGAAGTAGTGAACTCAGGTTAGAGTGAATGTAAATGACTGAGATTGTTGATAGCATGCATACATCGACTTTATATAAGAATACAAGGGAATACGAAAAGACCTGGACTAGCCATGTACTCTAAGGGGTACATTCCCTTATTGCAGCGAATTCAAACCGTGCGGCGCGGGATGTTGGTGCAACCCTACGGTTTGCACTCGGCTTGTTGTCCGTGTGCGTGAATGTGTGTGTGTATGGAATGGTATGAGGGCATGGGATAATATATATTTCATGCTTATAATTGTGTGTGAATGTTGAGTCATGATGTCGAGTGTGTGTGTCGAGTCAATAGCGAGTTATCGCTAGACGCGTGTTACGCGGTCGTTTGTGTCTCGCGCGCGGTTTCTATTTTGTCGTGCGCGGTTTCTATTTTGTCCTGTGTCGAACGTTCGGCGTGTCGCAGGTGTGTGCAGCAGACCCATCAAGAACTCAAGGATGAGTTTGTGATGAAGAGCCCGAGCCTTGGTGTCAAGCCTCAAGTGATTTCGAAGCTTGCCAAAAGGGTACACCTCAAGATATTGAAGATAGTTACATTACTTTGTGTAGTGTAACATTTCACTTGGTGTAGGCCCTAGTGAAGGGTAGTTTCGAGACCCTTCGTGGTTGGGGACAGTGTTGCACTGTTCCACATCACTGTACCTCGGCTCTTGGGGTTTGTAGGAGCTGGGAGTCATTCCCAACTCGTAACTCTTCCTATCTTGTGTTCTAAGACTATAGTGGCTGCCATAGTACCGTTCGTTCAAACCGACGCTGTGTCGTCAATTCTTTATCAAATCGTGCAATCTAAATTGCTAATTGTAGACGACGTGAAGACGCTCCAGATCCAATTTGAATCAAGTCATTTGCAGCTGTGAACAGAACGCTATCAACGTTTGAAGCCGCTGTGCAGAAATCCGTCTGTGCTCTCTATCTTTCGTTTTAGGCACATTCAAGCCTATTGTGACTATAACAAGTGGTATCAGAGGCCCTTGGAGCAGTTTCGACAATGTCTGGACCTGAGGAAAGGGGTGGCAGAGGTGCTGGTGGCAGTGGAGAAGCTCAAGCTCAAGGCCAACCCCGTGATTCAGCCATGGCGCCCATGCAACCAAGTCTTGGCCCACCTAGGGATGAGCCTAGGGTGTTTGGGCTTGACAAGTTCAACGGTGACAACTTTGCTGAATGGTCCTTCAAGATGGAGAACATCTTTGACCACTATGACCTGCTGGAGGTGATGGAAGGAACGGAGAAGCGCCCCGAGAACGACCCGGAGAAGAGCCCGTGGGTGCGGAAGAGCGCACAAGGCTATCTCTTACTTGGGCAAGCGTTGGGGAGCAGTCAGATCCGTCACATCAAGCCATTCCAGCGTGAACCAGAGAAAGGACCAAAGGCATGGGCTGCTCTCAAGGGTGTACATGCTCCTGCAACAGCGACGGTAGCGGTGGTGTTGGAACGGCAAATGGCGGCACTACGAATTGAAGAAGACGAAGCGGTTGAAGAAGGGGTGCAGAAATTCTTCGACTTGTTGACGCGGCTTGAGGGAGCTGATTTGAACTACAGTGAGCTCCAAAAGAAGACCAAGTTGCTGGCCTTACTCCCAGAGTCATGGTCCTCGCTCATCATCAACCTTAATCGCGACTTGCCCCACCTCTCGCTTGAAGACGTGAAGCGAGCTATCCTTCAAGAGGATTTCCGCCGCCGTGAGTTGGCGAGTGCGGATGGCGCTGGGGCAGCGAGCATCGGCCGTGGATATGGTCGAGGAAGAGGCAGAGGACGAGGGGGAGGAAGGTTTGGTGGCAGCAACTTCGGCGGAGGCCGCAGGAGTGGCGGTTACGGCAGCGACGACAAGAGCTACGGACGCGGTCGCGGCCGATTCGACGGCGAGTGTCACTATTGCCACAAGAGCGGACACATGTGGCGCGACTGCTACAAACTCCCTGATGGTTGGACCCCTGCTCAAGGCCAAGAGGGTAGAGGAGCAGGAGGAGGGAGAGGACGAGGCCGTGGAGGCCGTGGCGGTCGCGGTGGCGGAGCTGCAAACATGAAGAGCGGAGACAACGACAAGGACCCGAGCGACGATCGATACCCGGGTCTATTCTACTTCGTGTCGACGCAAGTACCGGCTGGTCCAGAGAAGGATGAAGGCTTTGAGGAGCCAGCAGCTGTGGGGAAGGTGACCCTACACCCCCTGGACTATTGGGTGATTGATAGTGGCGCTACCTATAGCATGACACCTCGCCCGGACTTGCTCACCGAACTCGAGCCGTCACCGGTGAAGCATGTCACATCGGCTTTGGGGCAGCGAGCAGAGGTGAAAGGCATGGGCAAGGCCATGTTCAAGGGTGCTGATGGGAAGATGGTGGGCCTCAAGAACGTGCTTTGGGTGTCCAGCCTTGCTGCAAACCTGATTTCCGTGCGGCGGTTGGCAAAGGCCGGCATGGACACGAACTCGAAGGGAGCCAAGACCTACACCGCAAGGCTTGGCGATCGAATTCTTTGGGACCTTCATGAGGACAGGGATGTCTACAACGAGATGTGGCAGATCCCAGTGGTCCCTATGCCTAAGGAGAGGCAAGTGGCAGCAAGCATCAGCACCAAGGATGGAGCGGTCGGTAGCGACGATGGCGCGAACGGTCGCGCTAAGGAGAATGAGCTCAAGAAGAGCAAACCTGGAGGGACCAGCAAGTTCAGTGAACCTAAGGAGAGTGGTGCAGCAACCAAGGAGCAGCAAAAGGGTGAGGAGAACCCAGAGGCAGCAGCGGAGGAGGACTACGGAGAGAGTATGTGGGGCGCTATTGCGAGCGCGGCATTCTCCAATCCAACTTCGGCTACGGGGGAGTGTGATTGGCTCACCTTGCATCGGCGCATGGGGCATGTGGCCCTGCCCATCTTGCAGCAGCTAGTGAAGAATGAGATGGTTGCTGGCATACGTGTGAAGGGGGAGCCCGATGAGGTGCTTGGCTGCCCGACGTGCATTCAAGCCAAGTTCACCCGGTTTCCGTTCCCTAGTTCGGAGGCAACGGCAAAGGCACCGCTTGATGAGGTGGTGATGGACGTGGTGGGCCCCCTGAAGCTTGGAGCTGCTGGAGCTGAGTATTTTCTCACCATTGTCGACGTCTACACCCGCATGACTTGGGTGTACGTGCTGGCCAAGAAGAGCGACGTGGCTGAAACGTTGAAGACGGATTGGTTCCCGATGGTGGAGCGGCAACAAGACCGTCTAGTCAAGTCAATCCGCACCGATCGAGGGGGAGAGTTCCTGAGCAAGGAGTTTGGGTTGTGGCTGAAGAAGAATGGTATTCGGCACTCCCTCACCATGCCATACTCCCCTGCAATGAACGGCATCGCCGAGCCTTCGAACCGCACAATCACGGAGGCGGCACACGGGTTGCTCATTGAAGCTGGGCTACCCGACTATTTCTGGCCTGATGCGGTGCGGAGCGCGTGTGTGGCCAAGAACAGAGCCTTGACTCATGTGGGAGCAGACAAATGGGTGCCCTATGTGGAGTGGCTAGGAAGGAAGCCAAAGGTGGATATGCTTCGGGTGTTCGGGTGCATGTGCATGGCGCTCGTGCCTAAGCATCTTCGGCACAACAAGCTTGGTGCCAAGGCGGTGTGGGCCGTGCACTTGGGCATGGCTCAAAACAGCAAGGGATGGCTTCTTTGGGACCCATTCACCAAGAAGTTCTTGGTGAGCAGGG